CCACAGAGCTACATACTACACACTAACTGGATGCATAAGCGCCGGTTCGTGATCAGGGAGTAGTGCAGAGGTCTGCAAATGGCCACGTAGTGGTCAAAAGACATAATAGCCAGGAGAAGACACTCTGTGCTCCCCATTTAACTAAATAAATAAAGTTGGAGTGCACACCCCATATAGCTGATGGTCTTTCTGGAGCTTCCCAGGTTAAACAGCATCTGAGGCACAATGCTTGTGGTGTAGCACATGTCCAGAAAGGAGAGGTTGGTGAGGAAGAAATACATGGGGCTGTGGAGACGGGGGTCTAAGGTGGACACCAGAATGATGGCGACATTCCCCATCATAGCCAGGGGATATGTTACCAGAACAATAGTGAAGACAGAGAGCTCTAGCCAAGGGTGGTTGGCAAAACCTAGAAGAATGAACTCTTCAGGGTGGGTTATGTTGAAGACTATCATTCTCTTCACCTCTAATAAAGTGGCAGAGAGAGAGAGAGAGAGAGAGAGAGAGAGAGAGAGAGAGTGTGTTTTGGGAAATGAAAATGACAACATTTTATTTTGTATAGTGTACTTTTTTTTTTTTTCAGTGACAAAAAAATAAGCAAACAGATAAACATATTATCATGGCTTTGGTGGGGTAAAGAAGATAAAGAATCTTGCCCAGGTATCACTTCTATGACACTAAATAGTAAAGTAAATTAAACAAGATTTCCACCTGGATACTGAATTTCTTCAGTTGTATAATAAGGGTAGCTTGCTGAATCTTCATTACAATTAAACAAAAAAGAGAAGTTTGTGCCCTTGTAAATTCATAAAAATTTCTTTTCTAACTCTGGCTGACATAAAATAGATCAGGCTTTTAAATGAATATTCATACTCGTCTACAGCAACTGGTAAAACAGAGGCTGCAAGAGCCTGAGGACTGAAATGCTTCCTTTTCAAATCAGTGTTGTATATTCAGTGTTGAATAAGTATTCAAAAGAGGCTAAAAATACCAGCTCCTCAGAGGGTTTCTCTGGAGAAACACTCCCTGTGATCTATAGGGAGAGAAGATACCATTGCTGGAGCAGAATCTGGCCGTTTGCCTGAACTAACATCTAGTAAAGAGTCTAACTCTAAAAAAAAAAAAAAAAGGCTAAAAATAATAGAATAAGGAGAAACATTAAGATCCAGCACAAATTCATCAGTTGAGTAATTATTTCTGCCAAGAGTAAGAAGAGTGGTGTTAAACAATATATCTGAGAATTTAAAACTAATTAATATAAATTATTTTAAAATGTTTTATGTATTATTGTTGTGTATGTGTGAAGGAATTGGGTGAGTGTGGGCATGTGCATGCTACAGAACACTTCTGGATTGTGTGGTAAGAGGGAGAACTTTTGGGAGTTGTTTCCCACTTTCTACCCTGGGTTCTGGGGAACAAACTCAGGCAGTCAATCTTGGGCAACAAGGGTTTTTACCATCTGAGCCATCTTGCTAGCTCAAAATGTAACTTCTATAACATCACTATGCAATAATACAATTCATTGACATTAAACAAAAAATTATACCAGTTTCTCCAGGCTCAAGTATTTAACATTGTCTATTTTTTTCTTGTATAGTTACTTAGACTTTGAAATGATTAAAAGTCATATTTAATTTGAGCTAATTCATTCATATTAGGTATTTTTTTAATTTAATGAGTGTATTGCCCTGTCTTAAAATGTACACTTAACATTTGTACACTTATCAAAACATACTAAATATCTATAACTATAGATACATTTATGAATATGAACTAATTTACAACTGCTAGGAGAAAAGTCAGTTCTCTGAGATGCAGAGACTCAGACTTACATGTCAGTTTACATTGTTGAAATATATATATGTTCATGTATAGTCTTTCTTTTCACATAAAAGACACATACAAAACAACAACATTCAGTACTTGAGTAATGTGATATTTTGACAAAGTAAGAGATGTGTGATATAAAAAACGTGATATGAATAATTCTAACATTGTACAATTAAATATTTCCATCTATGCATATAACTATATAATTAAACCATAAGACAATGTTGTCCATTGTTTAGCAATGTTATAATCACCTTTTGTATTCTTCTATACTAACCACTCTTCAATATTTAAAATAATAATTTAAATTTAGTACTCTAAAATTTTCATAATTATACTTATTTATCTTCAATGACAGTATTTGCTGCAGTGTTCTCCAAGGCTGACAACTGAGAAAAGTCATCATTAGCTTACTTAAGCATATTTTTCTTCTTGTAACTATTAAATGTGGGAGAATTTTCACAATATTTTCACCTCAAATTGACAGAAGTCTTGTTTTAAGGACAGTCATATCTGTTTTGCATCTTTCTTCCTTATAAAGCTACAGTTAGATATGTGACATTTACACACTGAATTTCTGTATCAAGTTTGATCCTCATCTGTCAGTCTGAGAGAGGTCAGTCATGTAAGTTCTATAATCTTATCCCCAACATTATCTCAAGGTAGTTCAATTCTTTCTTAGATTATGTAACCTTTGTGTCTTTGGCTTCCGGTAAGTATTTTACTACATGGATTTTTTTTTTTCAAATCTAGATATCTGTAAATCACCTTAGGATAGCTCAAACTCTGTTCATTAAATACTCCCCTTACACTCTCTCTCTCTCTCTCTCTCTCTCTATATATATATATATATATATATATATGTGTGTGTGTGTGTGTGTGTGTGTATGATTTATATGTCACTTTCATTACATAAAATATGTCATATTTATTGCATATCATACCTAGCTTCAAGTAGGAAAACAGCAAAAGAATAATACTGGTTATTTTATCTAAGTCTGAAACAACTAGATAAAATATGTGAACAAGTCAATATAAAAAACTTGGCTACAAATTTTAAATCATTTATTTAAAGGAAAATGTCTCAAAATAAGCTATATTTTGTGTGCTAATATTAATAAAATTATTACATAATATGTTTATATGTAACATTATTCTGTTATTTAATATGTCAGATGTAGTAGTTAATGAAATTTAATACTTTTATTGATGTTTCAAGTAATAGGTAGATAAAAGAGATATTACTTATGGAAAAATTTGCTTATTCTTAAAGTCAATGAATACAGATTTTCAAGTTCCAGAAAAGATTTCCTGAAGTGAAATGCTCTGACTTTCAACAGTGCATTAATTAGTATTACCAACATACATTCCATTATTTCCTGAAAATGTATGACCCAGGAAAATGTCTTTTGACTTACCTTGTCTTGATAATCTTCAATAAGAAGGAACTATGAAGGAATTTAGAGTGCTTTTTTAATTTTCATAGATGAATTAAGAAGCTTTAGTTCAGAAAAGAATACAGTGTTTGATAATTACTTTCAGGTGATTGATTGATTGATTGAGTAATTGATGAACTACGACAAACAGAAAATGCTGAATTAAGAAGACAACAGAAGAAAATACCTCGAATGACCCATATGTGCTATTTGTATACTGCTCCACATCTCCTGGGATGGCCCTCAAGCAGACCACATACTTAACTTTATCTTTGCTGAATTAGCAGAAAGTGTTCCTAGGGACAGAGTTCTTTGTGGATTTGCTTCCTGTGTACAGTTAATTATCTCCTTAGTTGTGCTGTAGGCAAGTCTATTCTATTATTATATGTGATTTAAAATAAGCTCATTAAATCTCTCAATTCACTATATACATTTTATATTTAATTTATTTTGTGAGACTTTTCATCAAATGATTTGAACAAATGAAGATTCCCTTATATTATGGCTTTTATATAAAATGCCCACTCTATGACTCATGTGTTTGAATATTTGGGACACAGTTGATCCTAACTCTTTTTGGAAAGTTGAACTTTGGAGAGTGGAGCATAGATGGAGAAAACGAGTCACTGGAAGGTGAGCCTTGAGAGTTATAGTTCCTGTCTCTCATTCTCCCCACGCCCTTTGCCCCATGTCTCGCTCTCTATCTTTTTCCTGGTCAGCTCTATGTAACAAACAGCTGACTCATGGCCCCAACAATGACTTATCAACTAACAAAATTTCAGCATCGGATTAATACATTTTCTCTCATAAATTGTAATGAATTTTATGTATTAAAATTTGGGGTATAAATTTGACAACCAAGTTGTAGAAATGTCAATTTCTAATGGAACATATTTTGAATATTGCTTGCTAAAATATGCTTCATAAAACATACTTATTGTTTATTGATGTAGTTCAATTGCTTCCACCTTAGAAAAATAATTTTTCTTATATTGATTCATGATAAAATTTAAAGGCACATCTAAATGTCCCAGTTTATTCTCAGAAATGTTTCCAGACTGTGCTTCATTAGTAATGTCACTTCCTTTATTTCTCATTGAGTCAAGACTCATGCTAGTTATGTTTAAAAGAAGAATTAAATATTTACCCATAGTTTTTGTCTCTTTGTATATTTTATTATATCATGAGAAATCCTTTATTTAAACATCAAATACTTCATCTTAATTCATAAACAAGATTTACAATGTTTTTTAAAAACAGCATGAACATACTCTGAGTTTTGATTAAGTCAAGATTAAGCATAATGGTCTCTCCCTAAGACCATTATGAAGCTATGCTGTCTAGAGACATGAATTGTAGTCTAGGAATTAAAGAAATGTTTTGCAATTAACACTGACTGGAAGACCATTTATTATATTTTATTCAGTATAACTTTACAATAATTCCCCCAAACTATGACTTAGATCCTCCAAAACCTATAATTTATTATTTTCTTGTATTATTTAACAGAGTTAGCAGTCTATGTGAACCAACCAGGAAAAATTCCTTTGTTTTCTTTTCTGCTTTTTCACAAATATGTGCCCAAATTGGTACATATTGGCTAAATAGTATCCAATTTTATTTTTAAAATACTAAAATGAAACAAATCTGCCAAGAAGGACATAGTTTGTGGATCTAGAATATGTGAGCATTATTAGAGAACCAATATAAAAGTACTACAATTACTAAGTCATTTCACTTGATATCAATGAACTTCCACTTTGAACTGAAAATGTTTCTCAGCAGCTTTTTTAAGGCCCCCTTTACATCCTTATTCCGTAGGGTGTAGATGAAGGGATTCAGTGTAGGAGTTATCACTGCATAAAAGAGAGCCATGAACTTGGGTTGGTCCCTTGTGATGGATGAAGAAGGCTGAAGGTACATGCTAATGGCTGGACCATAAAATAAGGAAACTACAATGAGATGAGAAGAACATGTTCCAAAGGCTTTTCTCCTTCCTTCAGAAGATTTAATTCTGACTACAGCACATCCAATATTAACATAAGAAGCAAGAATCAAGCATAGAGGAACAGCTAGTATGAAAATGCATACCACAGAAAGTGCCAGCTCATTAGCCTCCTTTTCGCCACAGGCAGTTTTTATGAGAACTGGAATTTCGCACAATAAGTGATCCAGTTTATGAGTGCCACACAATGGCAATTGTAATGTAAGTGTAGCCTCTGAAAAAGCAAAGATCACTCCAGTCAGCCACATGATAGACACTAACAAGATGCAGGCTCGCTGATTCATGATGAGGGTGTAGTGAAGAGGTCTGCAGATAGCCACATAGCGATCAAAGGACATAATTGCCAAAAGCAGACATTCTGTGCCTCCCATTATATGGAAGACATAAAGTTGAACAACACATCCAATGTAACTAATAGTCTTTCTAGAGCTTCCCAGGTTAAACAGCATCTGAGGCACAATGCTTGTGGTATAGCACATGTCCAGAAAGGAGAGATTTGTGAGGAAGAAATACATGGGGCTGTGGAGACGGGGATCTAAGGTGGACACTAGAATAATGGCAATATTTCCCATCAAAGCCATGGGGTATGTTACCAGAAGAATAATGAAGAGAGGGAGTTCCAGCCAAGGATGGTCAGCAAAGCCCAGTAGAATGAATTCTTTTGGGTGGCTTTCATTGATGAATTCTTTTGGGTAGCTTTCATTGATTATAGCCATTCTCCTTTGATTTATTTACCAACAGTTTGGAAGTTCCATATCAATGTAAAACAATAGAAAATTATTAAAAACTGAGAAAAATGCCAGTCACAAATAAAGATAAATCCACAGAATAACAGTAGTTTTGCTGTTGGTGCTGGGATCTGGAGAGATTGCTTAGTCGTCAGGAGTGCTTACTGTTCTAGAAGACCCACCTTGGGCTCCAGTACCCATGATGAGTGGCACACAAATACCTGTATCTCCAGTTCCAGGGAATCCAATGCCCATTTCTGTACTTGTGTGAACACACCCCACCCACTGCCTCACACAGACACACATATGCATAGATTAAATAATAAAAATATTTAAAAGACTAACTCTAGCTTTAATAACACAAACCCTAAAGGCCGAGAGAGTATGAAATGTTATACTTAATTCCTTAATAAAAATTCTACCAAAATAGATTACTGCATTTATATAACCTATTTTCATAAGTAAAGTACAGAAAAACATGTTAAACACTAAAGGAATATCTGATCATGAAGCCAGTGCTACAGAAGATTCTTTCAAGAATTCTACTCAAAGATTAAAATAAATAAACAAACAAAAACACCACTATGAATATACAGAAAAAAACTGAATCTCAGTAGTAAAGTAATAAATATTTATTACAGACTACAGAAGAGTCAAACATTACACAAACGAAAACATGATATGAAGTTGTACATACCTTTCAGAATTAACCTCAATGCTACAATTAAAAGGCAGAGACTAGTAGACTGGAGTGAAATACAGGAAGCAATTGTTTGCTGCATGAAAGAAACATATTTACAAGTTAAATTACAAGAAAATAGATCCTAAAAGCAAGCAGTATTAGTGAAAAAAAAAGATACCTTTGTTAATAAAGGGAACAATCTACCAGGGATGTCTAAAATTCTTTAGCAATGACTCATACAACAAATGTTGGCATACTCAATTTCATTAAGGAGTACTAAACCAAAAGAGATGAACAGATTCTAAAATGATGACAGCAGGTGACTTTGATACTACAGTCTCCATAATTAATGAATCATTCAGACAAACAAAACAAAACAAACAAACAAACAACAAAAACCCACTAAGGACACATCCTAATTAAGTAAAAAAGATAAAAGAAGCATGTCTTTTTCTTTTTTTGTGTGTTTTTGTTTTTGTTTTTTCTGAGACAGGGTTTCTCTGTGTAGCTCTGGCTGTCCTGAAACTTACTCTGTAGGTCAGGTTGGCCTTAAACTAAGAGATCCACCTGCCTCTGCCTCCTGCGTACTGGGACTAAAGACGTGCACCACCACCACCCAACAGTACGTCTTAATATAAAAAATTAATTAGTCTCTTTTATCTTATCAGATTACAATGGAATATAATATAGATCAACAAAAATAGAAACTGCCAAAATTATGTAAAAGCATGATGATTAAAAAATGTCTTTACATGATGAGTGTTATAATTGAAGAATTTAAGATGTAAATTAATTTTTATAAAGTTACAGGAAAATACAAATACAATATAACATTAGACAAAGGGACAGAATGAAAGCTGTAATGGGATTATAGCTGTTGGTGGTCTGCATTTAAACAAATACAAATATGCTCCAGATAAATTACATATTAAGTTATTAAGGTACATCAAGGATTTAAGAACTACAAATATAAAAATTATGAGAAGGTGCTGTCTTTTTTCCATTGAATGGTTTTGGCATCTTTGTCAAAAATCGGGTGTCTATAAGTGTGTGGATCTTATATTCGATTCCATTGATCCATCAGTCTGTTTCTATGCCAGTACCATGCAGTTTTTAGTATTGTTGCTCTATAGTACAGCTTGAGATCAGGGATGGAGATGCCTCCTGAAGATCTTTTACTGTAGAGAACTGTTTTAGTAATTCTGGGTTTCTTGTTTCATATGAAGGTGAGAATTTTTTTTCAAGGTCTGTAAAGAATTGTGTTGGTAATTTGATGGGAACTGCATTGAATCTGTAGATTGCTTTCGGTAAGATGTCCATTTTTAATATATTAATCCTGCCAAGCCATGAGCATGGGAGATCTTTCCATCTTCTGATATATTCTTCTAATTCTTTCTTCAGAGACTGAAATTTTTTTTCATACAAGCTATACCACTCCTAGGCATATACCCAAAGAGGCTCCAGTACACAATAAGGACATTTGCTCAACCAGGTTTGTAACAGCCTTATTTGTAATAGCCAGAAGCTGTCTGTCTGTCTATCTATCTACCTATCTATCTATTATTTAAGTTTTGGTTTTTTGAGATGGGGCTTCTTTGTTTAGCCTTGGCTAATCTGAACTTACTTTGTAGACCAGGCTGGCCTTGAACTCACAGAGATTCACCTGCCTCTGCCTCCTTGAGTGCTTATTCTTCAAGGTTTTAAGGTGTAACTTAATACTGCAAATCCTCCCAGAATTTACAATAATGCAATAGAAGAGTGGTGATCCCTCCATTCTGCTGCTGATATTTTAATTTATTTTGTATTATACATAATATATTTTATTTTATTTTATAAGTTTAGTTTTGACCTGACTAATGCATGAATAATCCGCATTTCATTTCTCTTGATTTTTGTTTAGCAACCATACAGATACTCCTGACATTGTGATTTATTAAGAAGTACAGATACTCCTAACACTGTGCTTTATTCAGAACACCTGTGCCCTTTAATTATATCCTAAGATCCTTTTCATTTCATGCTCATAGTTATTTAATTTTGCTTGTCATTCTATCCATTTTGTATCTTTTACTTTAGGTACTTTTCTATCCTATATCTCTACAGAGACCTATTTTCTCACAAAATTTAGTCACTTTAATGATTTATAAACTACGTTCATCTTGGAATCTATAAACATCTGCTCATTTGGTCATTCTACTGTTTCTCAGTCACTTTCATTACATGCTTTTAAGTTTAACTTATGATACTTATTAGATATATGCAGAAAGACTAAACACAAGTCATTTTTTGTCTGGCACCAAAATCTATAAATGAAACATTTGGAGAATCTATCACAGAAACTTTTGACTATTAACTCAAAACTGATTCCTATGATACACTTAAATGATTAAATGGAGACTTTACGTTCAAATATTCAGTATATGTCAAAAATACTATTTGCTTAAGTTTATACAGTTTTAAGATAAAGAGGATGAAAAAGATCAAAGGGGAAACTAGTTATTTCTAAAACTGTTGAACAAAGTATTTCTAATTTTAGAGAAGGCTTCCTGAGGTGAAATATTGTATTTCATTTGTGTATATAATAGATACAAGTATCTACAGATTTTATACCTTACCTGAGACCTCATGGCCTTTAAAACAAAGTGTCATTTCACTTACCTTATTTTTATAGTTTCCATTGGAGTGGAATTATGAAGAGATTCATTTAAGTCTTTCAGACTCTGGAAAACAGAGAAACTGTTGTCACAGATACGTAGTCAAGCATGAATTTCAGGACTTAAGTTTATAGTTGACATAAGTGCCATAGAACCTACGTCAGGTCTCCAGTAGGAGGAAGCATCCGCCACAGTTTGTGAGTGTGCTACGTGTGCTCATACGCATCCTCCAACCTCTGAGGCCTTGTTTTCAGCGAGGCCATTCACTTATCCCTCTCCCAGGTGTGTCAGCACAGAAAATCCCTTGGGAGAATACTCTCAGTGGAAATGTTCCTTATGTACAATTAGCAGACAGTAAATAGATGTTGAAAGATTTCTTCTGTTTTTTAGACATGTTTTAAGGCAAACTCATTTAAACTCACAGAACTCTATCAGTGTTACATAGGATGTAACTAAATAAATGAATTAAACAATATATGAATAACTGACTCATTGGAATTTATATAAGAATTAATTAAGTACATTTGTTCATTCATTCTTACACACATACACATACACATATACAAATCTTGGTGGATGGACCAAACTCTGAAGAGTGAGGTCCACACCACACTTTTACTCTTTTGTCTAGCAAGATCTTTCAAGCAGTACAATGTGGTTACATTCTATTTTTCTTTAAGTGAAAGATTACAGTGAGTGTACGTGAGAAAAAACTGTTCTCAAATCCTCACATGATTAAATGTTTTACGTACTATGGATAAAAAATAAATATGAAAAAGAAGTTTTTTCCAAGAATTCACATACATTTGTAACTAAGTATCCTGTTTACATATTAATAAGGTGATTAAGCAAGGTAATTTTTCAGCCAGCTTTTCTTTACTGGCAGGCTGCAGTTTGTGGTTACAAAAAAAGAGTCAGCTGTCTTAAAAGATAATCTTATAAAAATCTTTTTTTTTTTTTGCCAATAATGGGTTTTTAATTTTTTTATTTTTTTAATTACACTTTATTCACTTTGTATCCCCCATAAACCCCTCCCTCCTCCCCTCCCAATCCCACCTTCCCTCCTACTTCTCCATGCATGCCCCTACCCAAGTCCACTGATAGGGGAGGTCTTCCTCCCCTTCCTTCTGATCCTAGTCTATCAGATCTCATCAGGAGTGGCTGTACTGTCATCTTCTGTGGCCTGGTAAGGCTGCTCCTCCCTTGGGGGGAGGTGATCAAAAAGCAGGCTAATCAGTTCATATCAGAGACGGTCCCTGTTCCCATTACTATGGAACCCACTTGGGTTCCATATGCAGCTGTGTGTAAACCCTTGCATTACTCTGTTCTCATGAATCCTCGTTTCTGCCACCTGCTGGCTGCAGCCTCCTGGGTAAGTGGCTGTACCACCTCAGCTCTTCATTCCTCCTTTACCTTCTGGGTACCTCTGTGTGGGCATCGCCAAGTGGACCACTTCTTCTGTGAAGTCCCAGCACTATTGAGGTTGTCCTGTGTTGATATCCGTGCAAATGAGCTGACCCTCATGGTCATGAGTGCTATTTTTGTTGTTATACCCCTTATTCTCATTCTGAGCTCCTAAGGTGCCAATGCATGGACTGTTCTGAAAATGCAATCAACCACACGACTTCAGAAAGTAGTTGGGGGGCTGGAGA